ATCACGCAAGTTCAATAAGCAATATTTATGATAATCCTCGACATACTACCTTAGATACAACATATATTACAGTACAATGCATTGACATAAAAATAAAATCATAATAACAAGAAAAAGCACATAACAATAATAGACAACGAAACATTATTTTTTTTAGTGTGTGCAATATAAAAATATTTATCGCCTTAACATTTATCGACCAAATTTCTGAATGTCAAAAGATTACTAAAAGAAATATTCTATAGAATGATATACAAAATATGAACATATAGCCTTTCATTTTTATGTATATATACTCAGAAAAAAAGGAATCCTTGATTCAAGTATATTTTTATTCTTGAACGCTATTTGGTTGATTTAAGCATAGAATGCTCTTTGTAATCACAAATTTTCATTTGCCTTAATAATAAATAAGTTTGTGTTAAGTATATTTTATCCTTAAGATATATTCTTATTTTAAAAATCGCATATCGTGCTCACTTGTCCTTGCAATACTTATAAGTAAATTTCAGCTTCAACCATGAATATTTTGCACTTTGTTTTAAGAATAAATTACTCTTTATTGAAGATTATTTCTATTTAGCGCCATTATAAAGATAAGATATACTTTGAATCAAGGCATATTTGCACTCTTTCAAGGATACTGTTTTTTCTGTGTATGTATGGCATTGTTTATACGTAATGATTTATATATCAATTATTCAGTCATCATAATGATTTATAAGTTTATTTTTACCATATAACAATTTTTATAACAAGAATATATCTTAAGGATAAATTATACTTTACACAAATTTATTTATTATTAATACAAATGAAGATTTGTGATTACAAAAAGCATTCTATGCTTAAATGAATCAAATAGCGTTCAAGAATAAAAATATACTTGAATCAAGGACTCCTTTTTTTTGTGTAATTGTATAAAATTAAACGTATCTTTAAAATTATCTATACATATGTTTTTTTCTCTTATATAATCTTTGTGGAAAAATAATAAAAGAAAACGAGAAAATTAATAAATAAAAAAAATTTTTTAATAAATCGATTGCATTTTTTGTATTTTATTTTAAGTGAGATTTGTGATATTATAGAACGATGTTAAATCGCATTTTTCTTAAATAAAATTTAAAAAGAAATTATGTTCAAAATACGAGAAGATCTATAAATTTCAATAATATATCCTAGCAATATTTTCAAGAAAAGTCATATTCTATATATTATATATTTATATATATGTACTTGTACAGATGCCCAACTAGTTCCTTCGAGGGGCCAGATTTCAAATTGTGATTATTGCCAGCGAGCCAGATTAATACAAGTTAAGGACGTACACCAGTTAATCGATTCTCTATGTATTTGCTTAAAATTTGGATATATGTATATGCTGCTAATAATGTTATATATACACCTCCTCAATTATAAGAACCGAGCCGGTATCAAAGTCGAGATATTCCATGTGAAAGTTACACGTACGGTGATTTTAATTTATTGCGGCAGAAATTGTTTATGTATTTTGCTAAAAAACTAAAACATGATGCATGATATTGTTAGGAATGACATATTACAAAATGGGGATAGCGGTACCTTTTATGAGTAATTGTAATTTAAAGTCCTTCATTGACGGTATTTCGCAAACCGTCTTGCCGCGTGAAAAAAAAAGCCGCCATGGAGAGAAAGAGCGAAAGAGGGAGGGGAACAGAACTTTATTTGTCAGTGTGTGCCTATACATACTGATAGTGTGTGTGTGTGTGTGTGTGTGTGCGCACAGTCTACGCTATCTCTGTCTCACTTTGAGGCGATAGAGAAATCGCAGAATTTTAACTTGCAAGACGGGTTTTGGACAAACCTATTTAATACTTATACAAAATATTTTATGCACTACCACGAGGTATTGTATTCAATTAATATTTTTTAATTTTAATATTTTAGAATATGCTCGTAGGGCGGATCGATGGGCTGTGCGGATCGGATGCGGCCCGTAGACCGGACGTTGGGCATCCGCACAGAAAAAACAGTATTCTTGAAAGAATGCAAATATTCTTTAATTCAAGTATATTTTATCTTTATAATAGCGCCAAATATAATTAATTTTAGGATAATTTATTCTTAAAACAAAGTGCAAAATATTCTTGGTTGAAGCTGAAATTTACTTATAAATATTGCAAAGACAAGTGACAAGTGTGCATCGGATATAAGCGGTACTTTCAAATATATATAATAATTCTTAGTTTAAATGTGACTAAGTTTGTTTTTACAATATGCGATTTTTAAAACAAAAATATATCTTAAGGATAAAATATACTTTACACAAACTTATTTATTATTAAGGCTAATGAAAATTTGTGATTACAAAGAGCTTTCTATGCTTAAATCAATCAAATAGCGTTTAAGAATAAAAATATACTTGAATCAATGATTCCTTTTTTCTGTGCGTGTATATTGTATACTATATATATTTTAATTATCAAGTTAAAAGTATATTATTTGTGCAAGATAAAGTTATTTATATGTAAATGTATGTTATTTTAATTTGTTTTTATTTGTTTCTATTTTTTTTCTCGACTGTATGTAGGTATACATATATTGCTAAAATAACATATTACATTTAAAAATACTATTCCAAGAGACATTCTTCGAGATAATGCAAGCACACTTAACCATTTATAGTAAGGTCTGAACAGATGGAGCAACGGGCAATACACACAGAGTGGACACTTATTTACATTTATCAGAGAGAGAGATCATAATTTAATTTAAAATAAAATTATTATATATATATATATATATATATATATATTTATATATATTTATATTTAAGGAAAACGACTAATCTTTTGCACCAATTCAATTTTATGTGTAAGAGTTTTACACATTTGTATTTTATATAAAATACTTAAATGCAGAAAAGCATAAGCAACGAAACTTGTTTCGTATTTAGTAAATTATATTCTGCAAATTAACATTTCTCTAAATAATGCAACACTATTTTGTAGACAAATATTTATTTTATACATATAATAATAAAATTAAAATTACTTTGTCTTGTAAAATTATCAAAAATCACGTTTCTTAATGTCAATTCATGTCGCGTGAATGCTTTCTTTTTCAGTTTCAAAAAATAAAGAAGATGATCTTTTGTATTAGGACACCCGGTACATACATATATCCAACATATATAAATGGTGCATGTCTTTTACAGTTCTCACAGTTGCATCAACTTTTGTCGAAGAAGCTGAAAGATTTAAAAGTGTCATTTAACTGTTAATTTCTATGTCAATTTTTAAAAAAGTCATGGATTACGATCAAAATAATAAAATTGAAATACATAATAAAACGCCAATACAGAAATTTTACGCCGGACAGACAATCCTCATTACAGGTATTTATTGTGCAAATATAATTGAATAAAAGATTAGTTTTCTAATATAATTTAAGTTATTAAAAATGTAGTAAAAAGAAAGATGATCACACAGTGATCAATATACGGTTTATTTTATATATATGAAATATATATAAAAAGCGTGATAAACATGAATTATTAATAGAAAATCAAATGCATACATCATAGATGCCCAACGTTCGGTCTACGAGCATATTCTAAAATATTAAAATTTAAAAATATTAATTTAACGTATAAGACGGGCAACAAGAGCCAAATCGCGGATGACAATGCGTTAAGCAAGCGAAAGGTCTCGGGTTCGATTCCCGATTCAGCGATTTTCGGATCTATATTTTTCTTGCATTCATTTATTTATTTTCCGTAGGGGGGTTAAAGGGGTATTGAAATTAAATCTCAAAATATGAGATTATTTCATATTTAAAATCTTGGCCGTGTCCAAGTAAAATTTGGTACCTTGTGCACCGGTATTTAATTCTAACGAAAAATTATTTAGTTTCGTTAGGATAACGCATTATCATCCGCGATTTGGCTCTTGTTGCCCGTCTTATACGTTAAATTTATATTTATATTACAGAGCCTTGTTAAAACTCTTATATTTGATACACGCTGGCTTAAAAAATGCGTTTGTTTACCAACATTAATATATATAACAGAGAAAAGTATAGAATCGAGAGATCTGAATAGCTCAGCTGGAAGAGCAGTCGCCCGGCAAGCGAAAGGTCTCGGGTTCGATTCCCGATTCAGCGATTTTCGGATCTATATTTTTCTCTTGCATTCATTTATTTATTTTCCGTAGGGGGTTAAAGGGGTATTGAAATTAAATCTCAAAATATGAGATTATTTCATATTTAAAATTTTGGCCGTGTCCAAGTAAAAATTTGGTGCCTTGTGCACCGGTATTTAATTCTAACGAAAAATTATTTAGTTTCGTTAGGATAACGCATTGTCATCCGCGATTTGGCTCTTGTTGCCCGTCTTATACGTTAAATTTATATTTATAATTTATATATGAAATAAATGTCATTTGATTGAACAACTCGAATATTCAGCTCGATAAGTTGGCCTTACATTTAGCACTTTTTGATTTAAGAATATATTTCATATAAAATTATATACAATCTGTAATCTTCTATGTAATTATCAATATTGCATGATTATGCTGGGTCGGAAAAAAATCTAGCTTAATCATGTAATTTATGAACATGATAAATTCACACTGCTTGCGTTAAGCATGATTTTTTAATCATTTTTTCTATATACAAATGTTTAATAGATTAGTTAAACTTGTTTTTTTTTCGAAGCAGAATGTATATGTCTGTAAGAAAAAATCTACATCTATCATTAAAAATGCAATTAAATTCAGAATTAAAATATCTAATAAATAGCAACATAGAAATTTGCGTGGCTTCTGATTGGTGGTGACGGTTTTTAAGAAACATGTTTTAATTTTTATAGGAAAGGCAATGATACGTTGATTTACAATTATGTGTCGGTTAATGCACCGACTTGGAAAGAATACATCACTAAGGTGCTTTACAGAAATCAAATATATCCTTTAAAAGATTCCATATGGTTACCATTTATTTTTTTAATACCACAAAAGATACCATATAAAATTTGCATTTGGCTGTGTCATTTGCTTCCGGCCTTTCTTGTGGATGGCATGAGGATATGTGTGGGCCGCCGTCCGAGGTATTGTAGAAACATGAAATCGAATATCGATTATTTGATTACACATATCTAATAGTTTATCTCAAAACTGAATGAAATGACTTTTATATAAAACGCAAGGAGAGAGTCATAATAACTTTATATATATATTTCAGGATGTGGAAATTGTATAGCAAAATTCACAAAATTTCTAAAACAATAGCATATTTTTGCACAAATAAATGGAATTTCAGCGATAATAACGTTCAAATGTTGTGGAGCAACTTAAATAAAGAGGATCAGCAAATATATCCATTCAACATAAAGGAACTTGACTGGGCAAAATATCTCATTGATTATCATAAAGGCATACGTCTTTATCTATTAAAAGAAGATGACAGTACTTTGGAAATCAGTCGTATCAATTATAACAGGTAAATTTTTTTAATCATCTAATTTTAAATATAAAGATTAAATTTCTCTTAAAATAAAATTATGAATTTCAGGCTTTACTGGACACACCAAATATTTAAAACTGTGCTTATTTTTGCCATTCTTTGGCTTATCTGGAACATATTCATCAAAATATTTGCATAGTTGTTAGATGTTACACTCTGCATACATGTATGTATATGCTTTAATTTATTAATGTTTACAACATTAGTAGGTATACTTTTGTTTTACACGGCAAAAATTAAATTTTTATTAATAACAACTTATTTTCTTGAAATTCTTATTTTAGACAAAAATCGTTAAACGTAGAGTTATCTTTTCAAATAAAGATATTAAGCGATAAAACTCTTTTCCGCATTAAACATATTTTTCATCGAATACTGAACTATTTTTTGTAGAAATTACAGAAAAAAACGAGATTATTACAACAATGTATATCTTATTTTACATTCATTTCATTGTTGTATTGTTATTTTATTACTAATAAATATTTAAAACATTGCAATTATTTTTTGTATAACATTTTTAAAATTGTTCTCAAATTTTTCTTAGGAAACATTCACAAAAAGGCTTGCATCTAATATAAGGAATGTCATATAAATGTAAGTAATAAACATTTGATAAATTAATGCGATTATTAAAAGCGATAATACAACGCAAGAGATATCAATTAGATAATGTTAGAAATAAATTTAAAAAAGTGCAAAAAATATTTTGAATATAGTGACGTCAGAATTTATATATACATATGTTACATATAGACTACAACTCTCGCTATAGTACACAAAAACTCATTAAGCGTTAAATACGCTTGCTCCCTTTCGGCACAAATGTAAAAAAATAAATTCGTAAATTGTATTAAAAAAAATTTTAAATATAACTTTTTTAAAAGAATAATATAAAAGTAAATTTAGGCAGAATGTTATCAATGTTCACTGTTATACTTATTTTTCTGTCTGTTAAATGATTAAAATATATTACGCGGTTCCAGATGCGGAAGGTCATCACAGTGGTCATCAAGATCTCGCGCTGTCGTTGGTTTTAGGTTGACTTGGATGCCACGTGAAACCTTGTCGGGATTTGGAAACATTCGTGACCTATCCCGAGAACGGGGATTACACTGTTTGCGATGTCAAAGAGTCAGCAGCCACTCGCCAGAAATTCTGGCGCCACGCCAATCGTGGAAAAATAGGTTATCGATCAACCCCCCTCAAGTCTTGGTAATAACTACAGGATCCCTCCCTCCCAAATCCAAAAAGAGAGACAGGGAGAGAAGGGGTTAAAGATCCGCGTCAAAGAAGTGGAAATCTCGTGCACGGGCCCGGCGGGATAAGCGTTATTAAGTATATATGTATACAGTCGTGTACGAAGAAGAGCCAAAATCGTGTCAAGTTTTATTAACTCCTTCAATTTTAGGAGACAATTCAAATATATTTATTATCATTTTAACAATAGTGGCGATTAATGTATAACAGCAAGTAAGTTTGATCACGCAAAATTAATAAAGGGACAAACAAAGGACCGAAGGAAATGAAAAAATAAGATGTGGTACATTTTTTAAATTGGGAAAATTTTCTTAATTATCATTTGGCATCAAATGTTATTTTAATTATATTTATCTTTACGCGACGCAAAAGTTTAGTTTTATCTTTAGAATATTTTACGTAAAGTTAGAATTACAAAAAGGCAAACGCGAGCAAAAATATGTAAAATTTATAATTCAATATGCAAGTACAGAGTTATATATTTAAACAATGTACAATTATTAAAATACGGAAATATGTATGTTGCAAGAGATGTTATATTAAAAATGTATTTTTTTTATTACATTTTAATGTCTGGAGATTGCAATAAGTCATTAAAATTTAAACGAAAACTTTAAATTAGAGAGAATCCTTATTACTTTTGGGGGATAATTAAACAAGTTTAGCTGTTTTGCATGTAACAGAGATACGCGTTACTCGAGATAATTTACGCCACGATTAAAGTAAACGGAGTGTCTGCACGTCAGTTACTGTGTATACCTTTATATAATCTGTGTACTAGCGTTTATATTAATAATTCAGGGTCGTAGGGAAAACGTATCGCCTAGGAAAGTCACTGCTTCGTCTTATAGGAGTAAGTGAAGGGCATGTTTACTCTTACATTATCGCACAGCGAGTTTCTAAAAGGTCTATCGCAATTTTCCACCGATGATGTTCGCCTTCGTGATACGATTCGTTAACTTTTCAATTTATTTCCTGATAAAATGCATTCTAATTATGGTTGAGAGGGGCAAGGCTCGTTCAACTCGTGGTTTAACAAAAAAAAAATATCCAATTGACAATAGATATTTTGCCAGGTAAACTATGTAGAACTCGATATATGCCCGAAATATGCCCGGCATTTCGTGATATCGAGCGACTAGCTCGAACAGAAAATAATTTTGTAATAATATAACTCGACGAATAGTTTTAACTATAATATAAATTATGTAATAATTTGTATTGTGCTTGATAAATTTTTATCCTATACATCGAACTATTTCTCTCTCAAACTTGTCCTGTGATTTCACGATTGTTAAATCTTTAATTTTCATTGATTTATCAACTTAGCGTAATTTTAAACAAAATATGATAACGTTATCTCTTCAGAAATATTCTTCGTCCTTCTTTTATTTTCATCTCCTTTAATATAATATATGAGATATTGTTAAATTATCGATCAGCCTTTCTTTATATAGATTTCCTTACCTCTCACATTAATCAACTTAATATAATATATAAATATACAGGAATTACTAATGCATCGATCATTGTTGTTGTTAAATAATCTTGTTATTTTGCGTTACATAAGAATCGATATGAATGTTTTCGCAGACAATCCCGTTATCGACAGTTTACTCATATTTTCTAATTTTAAAACCGTCAAGCATCAACGTTATTGGTATACGATACGAACACGCTTTTAAAACCGACGATAAGCGGAAATATGTTTGAAGCACGTAACGGCGATACATCTATTATGTGGTCTGATGCTGTTAAACATTCACGGCATTTTGCAAGGCTTCCACCGCGCGTCTACCGGATATAACGTTGATAAACGACAGTCGCTGAAAGAAGATACGCATACAAAGTGACTCGATACTGTCGTCGGACAATGTAATGCCAAATTTTTCGACAAATTTTCGAAGCCAAATCTTCAAAAGAAATCTCTGACAAAAATTTTTGAAAAAAATGTTCCCTCTCTTCAGCGTTTACATTTTTAATATTAATTATATTTTGTAAAATCAAAACATATTAAATCAAACCTCTCCGCAGTGCTTAGATTTTAGATTATACGAGAAATTAGCCGAGAAATTTGATTTCGAATCAATCTGCGTTTAATTAACCACACACTCACTCACACTCGCTCGTACACGTGCTTCGGTTCGGATCAGCTGACGAACTGTCAAATTGGATTTGCGCGTCGCCGTATTTTCCGCAGAGTGGCGCCATCTGGTGACGCTGAGGGAAACTAAATCGCTAATTCGAAGGGTAAGAAATGGTAAACTGATCCGTCGATAAATGATGTGATAATCAGGAAACGGTCGGCAGAAGCGGATTCCCTCAGGCGCGCCTCATCGCATCGCATCAGGACCCGCCAACGAGGACGACGACGTGTAATATGTAACACCTGAGCATAGATTAATAGACAGATCGCCAAAGGCCTGCCTAAAGAAGAGACCGCCATCTTCGTGCGATAGACTTTGCCCCTTACCGACACACTTTGCCCCTGGTTCGAGTCCGTGCTAAATTTCGTAGACTTGAACCAAAAGACTTTGCCCCTGGTTCGAGTCCGTGCTAAATTTCGTAGACTCGACCAAAAGACTTTGCCCCTGGTGCAAGTCCAGGCTAAATTCGTTTGACATTACCAACAGACTTTGCCCCTGGTGCGAATCCAGGCTAATTGATCATGAGACCAATTTGAGAGATTTGGCCCCCGTTGTGTGTGTGTGTGTGTGTGTGTGTGAGAGAGAGAGAGAGAGAGAGAGAGAGAGAGAGAATATTTTACATATATGCATATATATATATAAAATTATTAAATATAAAAAATATATTTTTTACACATAAAATGTTTTTTTATTGAAATAATCACGATTTTAAATGTGATATAACACAGTGTTCAAAATTTTTTAATTAAATTTTTTAATTAAATTTTATTAAAGAAAATTACTTGAAATTTTTTACATTAAGAATTTAAAGGCTCCTTATTCTCTTGTAGAAATTTATCACTACGCCAATTAATCACTTATTTTGAGTATTTAAAATACTATAATATACAGTAATTTAAGTATTCGAAATAAAAGTGATTAATTACTCGAAATAAGTGATAAATTGGCGTTACTAGTAATAAATTTCTATAAGGGTTGAAATAAAGTATAAGAGATAAATAGGCTATATGTGAGCCGTATGCGAAATGTGAGATGTAAGACGCATATTGAAATTTAATTTTTCGATATAACTTTCAAAAATGTACACGAGGTACAAAAAATTAGCTTGGACATTTGTAAGACTTAAAATTGGGATTAATTCTCAATTCTATTAATTAAATTTCGATATAACACACCTTACATCCGCGCACGGCTCACATATATATAGCCCATTTATTAGTGCAATTTTTAAGTTCCTTATTTTTCAAAGTTCACCTTTTTACGTTATCAAATATTTTTACGTTTTCAAGAATTTTATATTTTTACTTACCGCAGTTTCTTATCCAAATGTAAAATCTTTTATCGCAGTCTATAAAAAATTGAAACAATTTACAATTTTATGATATAATATTATTATTATTACAATTTCTATATATATGCACATCTGTCAAATATCGTGATTTATTTCACATTATTATTATCTATTTTAATAAAAAAAAAAACAAAAACACTTGCAACAATCAAAAATAAACCGCCTGCCGCGAACGGAAAATGCCAAGAAAGCACGCAATTTCCGCGAATCTCGTAATTTTTTTGAAAAATCAACAATTTCAACGAAATTGTAAATTCTTCAAATCACTGCACAAGTATAATTCACAATAATAATTTTCAGTAACTACGATAAAAAATCGTATACTGAAAACCGCAAACGAAAGTGCAATGGGAGTAAGAGTAAAGTCTGTGATAAAATTAATTGGCAATAGAAAATTAATAATTTTCAA